GCCTGGTACTCTGTCCCCAAGGGCCTGGTTTGCCTCACTCCCCGCTTGGCAGTCAACTCACCACGCCAGGAGCATGGGCTGCCCAGGCTGCTCCATACAGTTTGTGCCCACCCTTGTGGAAGAAGCGCTCTCCAAGCCCAGGTCCCCAGAGTGATGTAAGGGCAGCCCCTACTCTGTCAACAATCCCCCTCCCATTACATGCCCCCTTCTGCATTGGACTTCCAGAGCTGTGTTGTTGCAGGTAATTAAAGGGTTTTAATTAAATTAGGATCCCATCTGGCTGGGACCAGTCAGCCCCTTAACGACGATTGTGTGTCACCAACCTCAGAATGTGGACAGGGACTCACACGCGTGGGGACTAAATTTGGGGATGAGGGGCCTTTCAGACAGGGATACAGGATCCTTCTGGGCTTCTCAGGGGCCCCCTGCCACGTGGCAGCAACTTGTTACACCTGCCAAATGGTGGCTGTGCCCCTCAGTGCCAGAGAGGGGGCAGAATACCAGAGCTTTCCCAAGTTCCTTCTTGCCCGTGAGTTGATAAAACCTCTTGGAAGAGTGGAAAGATATGTGAGCATTTTCTCATTTCTACAGAGGAGGTCCACAGAAGTGAAGCATTCAACCACATCCAGTGAATCTCTAGCTCCAGTGGAGCTAGACCTAACTGCTAGAAATGGAGACCCAGTGAGATAAAACTTTGACTTTTCTCTTACATAAAAGTCTGAAGGTAGGAGCCTAGGACTGGTATGATATTTCCTTTTAAAAATTATTTATTTTATTTATTTGACTGCTCTGGATCGTCATTGCTGGGTAGGTTTTTCTCTAGTTGTGGTGAGCTGGGGCTCCTCTCTAGTTGCAGTGAGTGGGCTTCTCGTTGCAGTGGCTTGTTGTGGAGCCCAGGATTTAGGGCATGCAGGCTTCAGGAGGTGCAGCATGTGGTCTCTAGAGCACAGGCTCAGTAGTTGTGGCACATGGGCTTAGTTGCTCTGCTCTGGGGCATGTGGGATCTTCCTGGACCAGGGATCGAACTTGTGTCTCCTGCGTTGATGGGCAGAGGCTCTAGCTCTGAGCCATTAGAGAAGGCCCTGATATGATATTTCTATTCCACAAAATTTTCAGGAATCAGCATCTTCCAGCTCATGGGTCTGCCGCTTCTAGGGTATGGCTCTTATCCCTCTTGGTCTAAGATGACAGAGTTCCAGCAATCACATATATATTCCAGGCAGCAGGACAGAGGATGAAATAAAGAAGAAGAGGCAAAGTCTTAGGATTTCTGGAAGTTGCCAAATAACTGGCTTACATGTCACTTGCTAGATCTAAGTCACATGGTCACATCTAGGTGCAAGAGAGGTAGTGAAATGAAGTTGTTTTTTTTTTTTCCAGGCCTTCAACTGCCCAGCTAAAAATGGAGAATTCCATTACTATCAATATGTAGAAAGGGGAAATAGATATTAGTGGTCTCTGCCACATGCATTATGGGTACCCAAGTCTCCTACCTCCAGCCTGGGACCTTTTCACTTCTCCACACTAAGAATAAGGCTGAAGTGAACACAAACCCATATCCAGAAACAAACAGGAGAAAGTAACATTTGTTGAACAACTCCTTTAATCTTCCCAACAATGTTCCAAGGAAGGTAGACCCCTAGATATTCACCTAAGGAGGCTCTGGGAGATGATATCATTTGTCCAGCGCACCCAGCTAGTAAATTACAGACTCAGAATTGGGGGCCAGATACATCTTTCTGCAACTGTCATGTGGGCAGTTCATTGGGAGCCTCTGTGGTTCAGGAGGTGCTAGTTTGTTCCCTTGGGACCATCTAGCCAAGTGGCTCTGAGATGAACTGGGAGGCTCTGAACGAGACACCTTGGCTTGGACTGTTATCAGGTCAGCCTTTGGGTTTGGCAGACCAACAGGAAACCAGGCTCCTGTGGAACCAGAACCAAGCCCCCAGCTGTGTGCCAGTCTCCTGTGGCATGGTGCCTTGGAAACTGTGGCAGCTGCCTCTCCCGGACTTTGGTATAATGGGCAAGTGCTGCCCGCAGCCGATCTTGGCTCCAACTAGCGGGGCTGGTGGTCCCTCTCCTCACCCATCACCCAGTCCCTGGTTTTCCTGGCAGTACCAGAGGACTCAGAGCCTTTGGAAGTAACATTTCTCTCTCCTATTCCTAACCTTGACATTGGATCACTTCCCAGCACAGAGCAACTGGTCCATTGTGTCTCCCACAACCCCCTACACATACCCACTTGATAATCCAGAACCTTGGTCACTCCACCCCCAAACACACCTTTCCCCAGATTCCCTACCCACCTACCACCTCATTCATCTCTGAGCAATGGGCCTCACCACAGAAGTCTGCCATATGCAAGGTCACCAGCATTCCTGCCAAGGATGGGAAAGAGGGTGAATCAGTTCCTGCTTGCTCATCCCTGGGAAGAGGGTAAGGAGGGAGGGTGGGGAGAGGAGGGAGGAGGGACCCAGGCACCCATTTGCTTTTGCCTTAAGCTTCACCAAAAGGAAGACACCATCACTGCCAGTTGACATGTATTCCTTCTTATTAGCTTCACAGACCACTGGGAAGATTCACCCCATTAGAGATGGGGATGCTGAGGTCCAGGAGGGGATGCTTGCCCAGATGTGCACCAGGATGAGGGCAGAGGCCACCTCCAGCTCTTCCAGTACTTAGAAAAGAACAAGCTTTCCCTGCTGTATCGATACTGCATTTCTTGCTCTCAGAGAGACTCCAGTCTGATGAGGGAGGCACAGATCCTGGCATCAGAAGCTCTTAAGTCTGACCTGGGAGGCACAGACCCTGGCCCCAGGGGCTCCCCAGGCTGGTGGGGATTTACAAGTCATGTCCCCGAAGAGCCCCCAATCTGGAGGGCTTGTCCCAGAGGCTCCACTCAAATAGAGGAGATAAGGCCCCTGCCTTTGGCCGGCTCCCCAGCCAAGCTGAACAGATTGGAGAGCAGGGCTGCAAGGACAGCAGGCAGCGGCAGCAGGGTGTAGGCAAAGATAGGCACCTGGAGCTTCTCTCTGGGACAGGAGACAGGTCTGTTCCCGAAGAATTTGCTCTCCTGTGAGTTTTGAATGGCATGATGGTCCAAGCACTTGCTGCGAACTGGGGGTCCATCTTCTCTCCTTGGTAGATGCCCTAGGCATTGCTCATCAAGGGGGTAAAGGTTGGCACCTTCATAGCCAGATGCTTAATGTCCTACCCTTTGTGGGGATGGGGTGGGGGCGCAGAAGTGTCTGGTGATAGCAAGACCAGTAGGGCGCAAGGACTATTTCAAAAGAATTATGATTCGGAAGGAAATTTGTTAGCAAGATCTTAACTGAGAGGAGCCACCAGTTACTGGGAAGGTGGAAAAGGAGGGATGCAGCAGCAGAGTGTGCACACGGGTGAAATGAAGTTATTAAAATGAACCCACCCCTGTGCAGGCGGAATGTGTGCCAGGAGGCCAGCCATCCAGCTGTCGGCAGCATCTGGCTCTCCACAGGAGGAGAGGAGCGGGCTGGGTCAGAGTGCCCCCAGCCCTGCTGACAGTTCAGCCAGGCTGGACGGGGGAGGAGCCCAGCACAGCCTCAGGGCTGAGGGAGCTGCTCAGGGTCAATGTCCAGTGTGTGTCCACAGTGGGGACATGCACGAGGATCCAGCAAGCCCAGACCCCCAAAGGCAAGGCCGGGCCCCTGTGCCCAGGGTGGGAAGGGAGTGGGAGGTGTGGAGGAGCTCTCAAATCTCTGCCGAGGCGAGATGCCCTGGGAAGCACAGTGTGGTGGGTGGGTGGGGAAGAGGCTGGGATGGGAGCGTGGGCTCCAGTCACTTGCCCTTCCTGGGTCACTTACTTCCTACAACCTGGGGCGACAGCAAGGTGGCTTCTATGGCCCCACGAGCTCTGTTCTGTGCTGTGAGGGCACTTGTCCGTGCTGAGTGCTGCTGGGCAAGGGAGATAGGCTGGGGGTGGCCAGAGCAACCTAGGACTCTCCTCATTCCGACTACCTGGCCACAAGGGATGCAGGGGGCATGTGTGCTGCCCTCCCAGGAGAGCAGACCTTGAGTGGCCTCCAGAGAGGGCACCGCGATCTTGGCTCCTGCAGTCCCCTCATGGAGCCCCAAAGGGCCCAGCTGACTCCCAGATGAGGTGCCCTCCTGTGGGCCGGAGCATGGGGATGGCTGCTTCCAAGCCCCTATGGTCCTCCCCCCATGCCCCAGCCTGTTCCTCCCCAAGCGTGTTAGACTGAAGACCCAATACCCCTGATTCTCTGATGGGACCCCTCCCAGACTTCTGCAGGAGGAGCCGCTGGAAATCACAACTAGGAGAGAGCCTTGGCAGTGTCTCCTCATCTCAGGGAGCCAGAGCCAGAAAGGGACTCAGAGGACATGTGTGCGGCCCTCAAAGTGTGGCCCCTGGGCCGGGAGCATCAGTGTCTACCTGGGCACTCGCTACTTGTTAGAAACGCAAATCCGGGGGTGGCGCTCCAGACCTGCTGAATTAGAAACTCTGGGGTAGAACTCAGAAATCTGTGCTTTAACAACCCTCTTGGTTCAGAAGCCCACTCACATTTGAGAAACTCTGGGCTGGGCAAGCTCCTCATTTTATAGCGAAAAATGAAGAGAACCAGAGAGAACAATGGACTCGCCCAAGGCCACAGAGCAAATATTGACAGAGCATTGTTACCCTAGTGGGCCCACCCAAACGGCGACCCAGGAAGGTGACCAGGATCACCCACCCTATGTGGCCCACCCACCTACTAGTCCTTCCTCCCCAGGTGCTCGGCAGCTGCCAGGCCCACCCGCTACCAGGCCCACATAGCATCGGTCCAGCTTCCGGGGCTAGACAGGGGCGGGGAGGGAAGCCCTGGAGCATCAGCTCCAGCAGCTGTTGGAGCCCCGCAGCTCCAGCCTCAGGAAATGTCCTGCTGTCATCTGAGAGACGCCGGCCAGACACTGGGCACCTGGGGCCCTCCCCCGACCCCCTTGTCCCCAACAACTCGGAGTCCAATATCCAGGAAAGCTTTATTCCCTGCTCGGTGAACAAGAGTCTGCACACACAAGTTGACCATCAGGTGAGTTCACAAACCCCACCCCCACCCCNCACCCCCACAGACAGACACTAAGAGACAGGTCCAGCACACCCACCACAGTGTGACCTCACCCACCCCGAGCTGCTGACGGCCCCACAGGCCACGAGGGAGGCAGCATCTTTATCCAGGCGAGCCCTGGGCTGATGGGCAAGGCTGGCTGTGGAAGGCTTACTTGCTGGATAAGGTCACTCCCAGAGGAGCCAGCAGGGGCAGGATGGGGGAGGAACACGCCACTCACAGGTGGCTTCCGCCTGTGGCCTTGGTGCTGGGAGAAGCGCAGTTGTCCTCGCCTCAGCTTATGGACAGAGGGGTACTTCAGCTCAAGGGTGGGGTGGGGAGCAATGGCTAGAGAAGCGATTTTGGAAAGGGGAGGCCTGGCTAGGGGCAGCTGGTCTCTCTGCCAAGACATCAAAGACTCCAAGGGTCACCACTTCCGCCTCAAGCCGAGCTCAGACCACAGTCCAGGATGAGGGCTCAGGGCTGCCTCCTGGGTGGGGCTGGAGAGTTCCTGCTGCTGGCTGCCAAGAAGCCCCAGCTCGACCATCCTGCAGGGCTCACTGGGTGACCACACTGATGAAATACTCCTCTCCTCGTTGCTGTTCTTTCTCAGGATGGCAAGGAGGGAGCCAAGATTTCAGGCTCCTCTCAGAAACTGTATTGGTCTGCCTGCCCCAGGGGCTTCCTGGACCCGGCATCTTTCTGTCGCTCAGTGGGGAAGCCCTGTGAGGCCACCCAGAGAACCCACTCCTCGGCCAGTGCTCCTGTGTCCTGCTCGCCCCACAGCCTCAGGTTGGGGCCAGCACCTGTGACCCCTTCCCCACCACCTGAGACCTGGTTCTGGCCACACCTGGCCTCTCATCCTCTCCACCCCGGAGCTCCCTGCCTGAGGCCCCTTCCCTTCCCTGCCCAGTATCCAGACAGATGGCTTCCTGTGTGGGCAGGCCTGTCCTTCCAGCCCTGGCCTGCCTTTTGTGGCCTGCCCAGGGGTCACCCAGAGGGGTAGTAGGGAGTATCGCTGTGGTAGTTGTAATCCGGACACACCTTCTGGACTAGCCTGTAGTCCGTGCTGTAGAAGGCGATGTAGACGCAGACGACTTTGAAGGGCTGGGAGCAGCTCCAGGTGGCCGAGCTCTGAGCGTGGTCTCGGGAGCAGGTCTTGGCGGGGTCATGGGTGCAGAGCGAGATCCGGCGGCCCCGTTCCACCTTCTCCCACTCCATCCGGCAGTTGAAGATTTTGGAAGCCTTGGCTTCAATAAAGATCTGCTGCTCCTGATGAAACTCTACAGCTTTACTGGGGGGCACAAGGCTGATGGAGATATTGCCCTGGCCCGTGGCATTGTGTCGGAAGTGGACACTGAAGGTCCCGTTGCCGTGGTCCACGATCTTCCCCGTGACCAGCAGGTTCAGGGCTACCGTCTTGATGTTGGAGTAGAAATCACCCCAGCCAAAGATTTTCTTCACTTTGGTTGATGGCGGGGGGCTGTGGTTTGGGCGACTGGGGGGCTGCCCAAGGACCCCCCATGCCTCCCCAGGTGGAGCCAGCAGTCCTAGCAGAGTAGAGTTGGCCATGTGGCGGGACTTAGGGGACATGTGGCCCCGCTTTCGAGGCATCCGCGGCCGGGCCTGGCTCTCAGAGTCATCATGCTCAGGGTCCTCTGAGCCTGGTGGACCGTCATCCTGGCCGCAGATGACCTGCGGAGGCAGTTGGGAGGAGAGTGAGCACCTGGGCCCTCAGAAGACTCAGGAATTCCGGTCCCCTACTCCCTACCACCAGGACCATCTCTCTGCCCCTCCCTTCCACTCTGACTTGGGGCCGAGGGGCCCCGGCACATTGCTCACTTACACTGGGGGTTGGGTGTGCATTCTGGGGCTGTGTCATGGTTCCCTCTCATGTTCTGACACTCAGGTCACCCCTAGCTCCTCTCCCCACTGTGCTGCCTCTGGCCACTATTTGAAGTCTGGAGAGATGGTAGAGAATTCTCTCCAGGGACCAGCACAGTTACACAGCTTCTACTCTTAAGAGAGCTCCAAGTCTGATGGGGGAGGCCCAGCTCCTGATCTTGGGAGAACCTTCATCAGACTGCAGAAGTACACCCCTTTGTTGACAGAGCAGTTGTTGTCTAGGAGAGATACAGTTTCAGCCTCTGTGATATTCCCCGGCTAACGGAGGTGATACACTGTCTGCCTTCAAAGAGCCCCAAGTCAGGTAGGGGTGCTCCGTCTCTCTGCTGAGACAGCCCCTCGTTTGACAGCGGAGGTACAGCCCTTGCCTTTGGGAACTTGCTAGTCTGTTGAATGAGACACCATTCCTACCCTGGGAGTTTCTACCCTCAGGCAAAGAGAATCAACAGATGATGGAAAAGAAAACAGAACCCAGTAAAGTTCTCTCTCGAGTACAATGCGGTTTAGGTTTTAATGGGAGGCTTTGAGGGAGACCTGGGTGAGTTCCATAACCAGGATGACCAAATTCCACTGATGGTAACATGCCAGGACATGACATACTAGGAGGGAGGAGTTCTTCTTAGCCCCATCTCACAGATGGGGACACCAGACTCACAGTTCACATCACTAAAGACTAAGTCCTTCAGGGTGAGTCCTCCTGATCCACCACACTCCCGGGCTCTCAGACCAGACGGGTCCTTCTGCGGGGGTTTTAGCCAAACCCTACCCTCATCTGGGGTCTCTGGAAAGCTCTGCGGAGGCTCAATTGGCCCCTCTGCATCCGCTCTACTGACAGGCAACATCTGGGGAGGCTTCTTGAAGGAGCTGTGGGGAGGGCCAGCAGGACAGCCCGACAAGCTCAAACTCAGGACAGCTCAGGAGGGCACCAGGGAACGGACCAGGTTCCCTGAGGACAGCTGCCTGGCGTGGATATGCTCAGCTTTTCAAGAAAGACCCTCTGTGTCTCATAACCAGCACCAGGTGTACCAGCTCACAGCTGGGCAGCATCTGGACTTGCTGGGACCTGGGATAAGGATGTGGAACGCCTGAGGCTGTCATATGCACTGCTACAAAGGGGTTCGGGGTCTTCATGTCCCCTGTTCTGACCCTGGCCATGTCTGCGGTTGTGCGCGGTGTCCCTGCCTGCCAGGACCCAAGGGTGGGGCAGAGAGACAGCAGGAGGGGAGGGCCGCGGGGCTGGGGTCAAGGCAGAAGACGTGTGCGAGTACTGAACCCTGGGGGTGGGGGTCACAGCTGAATGGCTGGAGGATGAAGAGAAGGGCCCTAGGGGGAGAGGTGAGAAGGGAAGGGTTCTTCCACACAATGGCAAAGGGGATTATTGTTTTGAGGAGACGGGCAGACCTAGATGTGGGTCTGAGGCTTCTCCACGACAGGATTGGTAGGTGGCGGTCGGTCGGAGGGGATTCGCGCCCTGAGCTGGGGTCTGGTGTGTATTCCCCGCGTCCAGGGCCGCCAGGAAGGCGCGAGCGAGCGCACGGGGAGCGGGCTTCGGGCGCTCCGCTCAGCTGCCGCGAGCGCCCGGGGCGGGAGCCGCCTGCCCAGGTCCTGTGGGGCTCGGGCTGCGCGCAGCCGGGAGAGGAGAGGAAAACAACAGGCGAGGAGGGAGGGAGCAGGAGGGAAGGCGGGAGCGAGGGACGCGGGGGCCACCCCTCGCCTGAGCCAGCTAGTGCGCTGGGGGCCCCAGAGCGCGGGGCCCTCCGGGCCCCTCCGCCTCCCCGAGGTTAGGGAAGAGCCCATACCCCCTACCCTGGCAGGTCATCAGCTCCACAGCCACCCTCCACTACCCTTCCGCACGGCCCGCGGCCCGGGAAGAGGTCGAGTGACCCTTGGCGACGTCTGCGGGCATTTCCCCTGGTGCCCGTCGCACCTCTCGCCACCAGCGGCCGAGTAGGTGGGCCAGCCCAGCACCCTCTCCCCGCCCCTATTAACCCTTCCTGTACAGACTCCGGCCTCGGACCCGCCCTCTCCCCCAGCCTCGAGGCTTCTCCTCCATCCCCGGGATGTTGGGGGGAAGGGAGAAAGTTTTCGGGCTCGGAAGCTTCCCGCGCTCTCCCCCAGTCCTCCCGGCCCCCGCCCCTCGGCGCCGCTCCCCGCGGATCACTCACCAGATAGAGGCTGCCCTGCACTAGGAACACGAAGCAGCAGCGAGTCAGTTGCATCTTCCTCCTTTGCTGTCGTGCCCCTTTCTCGTGCCTGTTCCCTTCAGGGTCCCAGGCCCTTCCTCACCCCTGCTCGCTCTTTCAGGCGCGCCGTCCCATGCTCCAGTCCCCCGGCCCCTGGCGGCCCTCCGCGCGGCCAGCCGCCCAGGACCGACCCCGCCCCCTTCGGTCCAGCTGTGCAGCCGCCGCCCCCCTCCCTTGGTCCAGCTGCGCGCGGCGCGGTCCCCTCTCGCGGCCCCAGATGTGCGCCCCGAGCGCCTCGAAGGGCCCCAGCTGCGCGGTGGCTCCGCGGCTCCTGATATGCCCCCTCGGTTCCAGCGGCGCCGCTCTCGCCCAGATGTGTTGGGGACCCGCGCGCGCGCTCGCCCCAGAGCTAATTCCCTAGGCCAGATGGCCCCTCCCGCCCCGTCGCGGCGCGCCCCCTGGCGGACGCCCCTGGCCGCGCCAAGCCCCGCCGCCGCTCCCCGCGCTGCCTCCCGCCAGACTGGAGCGCTCCTGGCGCCCAGGCGGCTCCCGCTTACTCGTCCCTCCCACCACCAGCGGCGGCGGCGGCGGCGGCAGGTACTGTGAGCCCAGCCGGTACCTCCGGAGTTAACTCCTCCCCTGCCGGCCCGCAACCCAGGGATTTAGGACGCAGGGGCAGGATTTGGAGGCGGAGTTTACTCGCGAGGCAGGGAGAGGGTGGTGACCTCGGGGGTAAGGACCCTACTAATTCCAACCCTGACCAGGGCCTCTGTTCCTGGTAGGGAGCCCTGAGAATCTGCTGCCCTCCCTGAACCCCAAGAGACCTGGAATTTGAAAAGATTATTTTTCCCAAACCCCATTACAAGAGATTCAGAAAAGAAGGTCTTCCTTACTGTAACCTGTCTCCACAGCCCAAAGTCCACTTCTCTCTGCAAGACTTGATTTTGTGCCCGGGGAAGTTCTTCTGGGTGTCTAGCCTGTACTCCTTTGGTTATAATATCAATTCCTATCCTGTTCTGCTTTACTCAGAGGGGCTGGGATAACCCTCCCCACCTCCCCCCAGTACCTCTCAGTCCTGTCGCTGTGACAGGAAACTTGACTGGAGTCTTGGAATGAAAAGGCAGCTAGGGGCCAGGCTGGATTTCTGGGGTAAGCCTCCCGAGAAGCTAAGGAGTGAGGTGAGCAAGGCCCCTGGAGGCTGTACCTTCATTCTTCACTCTGCCCTTCCTGTGATCCAGGGAGTCACAGGCTGGGATGTGGGGCTCCTATGCCAGCAGGGTCTCTGTCTCTGGTTTCGGTAAACCTCCAGGGCAAGAAGGAAGAAAAAGACCCTCATTCGAGATTGCAAAGTGGGGCCCATCCCCCATCACCCCACATCTCCACATTGTCTTCCTGGAATTGCAGGGCCCCTTTAGTCCTTAGAAAAATCAAAGGTCAAGTCCCAGCACCCAGCACGTCTCAGAGGCTGTGAGGCTGAGGTAGGTACCCCAGCATTTGGAGTGGCCCCAGCCTGGGCTTGGCCCATGGGGCAGGGTGGGTGGGCACTCTGCTGTGGCCCTCGAGGCCCAGCTTGGTCTCTGGCTGCAGCCCCCAGCACGCACCCAGCCTCCTCCCCCACCATCTGCCAGGCGGGTGCATGGGGAATGCAGATGAATCTTAATATCAGCCTGGGCCAAGTGCGATGAGGGAGACAGATTCTGCAGAACCCAGACAGCGTCACAGGGCCCCCTGCATTCCCCAGGCACCCTGGGCAGTACAGGAGACAGCAGCCCTTCTCTGGTGGTGGTGGGGGTGTGTGTGTGCAGGTCTAATCAAAGACCACCCCCCACCCCACCAAAGCCAGGGGAAGAAGGAACAGATAAATCTTTGTCTGGCCTCTGAGCCTCTGGTCCGGCTGGGAGGAAGAAGCTGTCGGCCTGAGCGTGGGCAGCTGGTTCCGGCACTCAGCTAGGCAGAGGCGTAGCTGGGCCCACTCCTTGTCCATCTCCAGAAGGTCCTATCCCCAGGAGAGCAGTGTGACCCAGCAGAAAGAGCACAGATTTTCAGGCCAGACAGTCCTGGATTCCATTCCAGGCCTGGCTGTGTGACCTTGGGCAGGTTGCTTTGGTTCTCTGAAGCCAGTTTCCTGATCTGTTGTTGCAAGAACTAAATGAGACAGAATGTGCAAGCAAAGCACAGGCACAATGGCTGGCGGGCAGTCATGGCGTGCAATAAAGGGAAGCTCTTTTCTACTGCCCACACATTTGCTCTGGCTGAGCCTCCTGCCGGGCTTGCCCTCACTGCCCTCTTAGCCCTTCCTGACTCTCACTTCCTTCAAGTTTCCACTCCGCATTCATCCATCAACCACTGGCCAAGCCTGTCCTTGGTCCCAGGCACCAGGCCAGGGGTTGGGATACACAGATGAATGGAACTCCATCCCTGCCCTCAAGGATCTCACAGGCTAGTGTGGAACTGAGACATGAAAATCAATGATTATAACTCAGTGTGGTGAGTAGAAAGATCCTTCCAGCAGTGAGTACGGATACACTGAGGACAGTGTGGGTGTGGGTGGAGAGGGTTGGCTTCCTGGAGGAGGTGGTGCCAAAGGACAAATGAATGGTCTAAGATCTGCAGGCTAGAACCAGAAGTAGTTTGCAGTTACTGGAGCTCAGAGGGGAGGAGAGGAAGTTGGAGCAGGAAGCTGGGACCAACTGACCCAAGGTCTTTCCTGTGGGTCAAGGGGGTTAGGACCTTGAAAACACTTTGAAGGGTTTTAAGGGGGGCTAGTAATTTTAGTCAGATTTGCATTTTAGAACATTTTGGAGAATTCACAGGAAAGAGGAAAGACTAGAGCTCTGGAGGGAACCAATTAGGGGATAAATGCAATCTGGGGTGAGAGAGAGGGGGAGACTGGAAACATGCTGGGGAAGCAGATCAGGATTGCGTTATTGCTGAAATAAGGGAGGAAGGGAGACAGGGAGTCAAGTCTGATACCCAAGTCTCTGGCTTGGGCAATAGGCAGGATGCCCTCTGAGGTGGGCACTACCAGCAGTGGGGAGGCAAGTCAGTTCCAGGGGGATGGGGGTTGGCTTTGGTCAAGTCAAGTCTGGGTGCTGTGAGCCAACCAAAGGCAGAACAGAGTCTCGCCTGGGGTGCCGGGAGTGTGGATGTGCAAGTAGAACAAGGGGCTTGGATGGATTTAAGGGGTGGACAGAGGAAGAGCTGCTCCCAAAAGACCCCAGGCAGAAGCTGGCAGCCAGGGGCAAGGAGGGTTTGTGGGCTGATCCCAGAAGCCACAGAAGCAGTGGGGCTCTCACAGGAGTGTGCCAAGCTGAGGTAACTTTACACATCCAGAGGCCAGGTCCCACCCCAGGGTCAACAGATGGGAGCTCAGGACCATGCATTTTTGCCCCTTTCCCAGGTAATGGCCTCTGGACTTTGATAAACTGGTGTGTGGGGAGTGTCAAGAAAGACCGTATGAGCAGTAGCTCACAGGAGCAGAGCAGCCTGGCATAAAAGAGACCATGGGGTTTGGCAGAGGGTCCTCTGAGAACTGGACCCAACACTGTTTCTTCCAGCTGCTCCCAGGATGGGAAGACAGACCACTCTGCACAGCTGTGCTGGAGGTAAGCCCAGATGTGTCTGCCAGTCAGGGTCACCTCTCCGTATCCCTAACCCTCTCACCCATCACACCCTGCACACAGCAGATGCTCAATGAAGGGGGCAGAACTCAATGTGCTAGTCCTGCCCCTTGGCCCCCAGCCTCCTTGGTGCCTACTTGCACCCTGGATGTGGGTTGGCTGGGCATTTGCTCAGCACTTCGGATGCTTTCCCTTGCTTCAGTCTCACCTTTGGAAGAATCCTGTCTGTATCCCTCCCCTCCTCTCTGCCACTCCAGTGCTGCAGTAAAGAAAAAAAACACAGGGGTGCCTGATCAGTGCTTATTGAATGAATAGGAAATGGGGCTCCTGATGGTTTGAAAGGCAGAGAATGGATGCCCTTGAGCCAGCTGCAGCGGGGAGGTCACGGGAGAGGCGGGAGTAGATCATTGTTGCTAACAGTCTCTCCTGTTTACCGGGAAATTTGCAATTTTTGAGTGTTATGATAGAATGCTATTAGAGGAAACCAGGGGAGCCCAGAGGGAAACCCTAATTCTAATGAGGGGGCCAAGGACAAATCCTAGAGAAACTACTCTTATGTGGATCAGCTGAGGTGGGAGAAGGAAAGAACCTTCCAGGCAGAGGAAGCAACTCATGCAAAGGCCAGAGATGAAAGAAAGGCTGGGAATGGGGTTCTGATGAGGACAAGATGAAAGACTCATTTGTTCCACAAATAGTTATCGGATGTCTACTTTTATGTTGGGTCCTGGGCTGGGTGTGGGGGTACAGCTGTGATTGAGAGATGGCAGTCCTTCAAGTGGAGAATTTGGGCTCTGAGAGAGACAGATTAAATATCTAAGCATATGAAAACACAAGCTCTGAGATGTTGGCAAGTGGTGTGAAGGAAGAAGACCAGCAAGTTCTGAGTGAGAGAGAAACCAAGGAGGGGTCCCACTTTCCCTGGAATTGGTCAGGGGGGCCTCTGTGAGATGTGACATTTCAGCTGGAATCGGAAGGGTGAGGAGACCACACCAGCTATCAGGCTAGGGAGGGGCCTTCCAGACAGAGGGAACAGCGTATGCTAAGACTCAGAGTCTAGGAAGAGTTCGGTGCTTTGGAGGAACTGAAGCAGTGAAGGAGTGGGGAGTGAGAAGAGGGCAGAGAGATGGGCAGGGCCTGGATGGGCCCAGGGCTTTATAGGTCTGATGGAAGGTTTGGGCTTTGTCATATCATTAAGATGTTTTGTATTACAAATTTTTAATTTACAAGTTTTAAACAAGGAGCAGACTTACACTTTAGAATGATCACTAGAAAGATCACTCTGCTGGCAGTAGATTTAAGAGAGAGGATGACACTAGGAGCTGGGAGGTGTTGGTGGCCTGAGATAGGGCAGATCCCCTGGGGATGGAGAGGAGGGGATGGGCCTGAAAGACATTTAAGTAGTGGGATGAAGAGGAGTTAGGCTCTAGGACAGTGGTTGAGGGGTCAGAGATGCCCCCAGCTTTCTAGCCCAGGGACACAGGATGAAGGGCAGGTTTGCGGGACGGTGCAGTGCCCTGCCCTGGATAGGGGGTATTAAGTGCTTCAGATGCTCAGGTGCAGCGAAGAGCTGGGTGCAGGGTGGAGGTCCCACTG